GTGCAAAAAACTAACTGGATTGAGGCTACCAATGAATTATTCAAAGACAACTGATTTAATAATCTGGGGTAATCACATGTGGTAACTAGCAACCCCAAAGCCATATCAACCAGACAGGTAGATTTAAAAGCCAGGAAGGCATTGCCCACCCCCCGAGTCAAGTTCATCCCCACTGTCTGTCTTGCGTGGACATCCACTCATCGGAGAACCAGAAGTTATCTACACAGAGTCCTAAACCAGAGCCAATTAGACCTGAAACAATGAAGTGTTGGATAAACGAGCATTTTTAGTTGAAACAAAAGAGGAAAAAGGGAACCTTCGGTGCAACACTGTAACAGGAAAAGTAGAGATGGGCCCTCGCTGCTCTGGAGCTTGTGAAAGCAAAGTGCTCCTCCGAGATCTCCATGTCCCCATATCCACAGTCATTCCCGCTGTTAAGGACAACTAAGTGGGAACGGAGCCACCAAGGAAAATGAGAGTCAGTGAAAACCCAGTTCCTGAAGATTTGAAGCACATCAGCCTCATTACCAGAGATAACGGAAGTCTCACATAAGCCGGGCAGACTTGAAAGAAATGTTTTAGGAATGAAAAGACAAAAGAAAGCTAATTTCTCCAAAAAATCCCCTCGTGTGAAGGCATGGAAAACTATGATGCAGACATAATTTGATGAAGATTGTAAGACATTTACAGATGCATTGTTTTGGTCACATAAGGCTGAGCATTTTTTTTTTATTTGAAAGTTATCATTCTCTTTCTTCATGGAAATTAACTGTATTGTTAAAATTTGAAACAAATTTCTGTGTAAATCAGAAGGGGTACGACGGAAATGTATTTGGAAGGAAAAATATTTACTCTAATAATTCATTCTCAAATTACTTCCCAATGCTGTAACTGAAAGAGGTAGGATGGATTAGCACGTGTGTGTGTGTGTGTGTGTGTGTGTGTGTGTGTGTGTGTGTGTTTGTGTGTGTGGACTCGATTCATAATGCTGTTGTCCTTTCCTGCTTTCTTTATGCACACAAAATGCACACTAAGAAGATAAGATTTTGATTTTGTGGATTGCTTTGTTTCTGTCTGTTTTTAAAAAGGCCAAAGAGAGTTAACACCTCTTCCTAAACTTTCAGATCAGACTATGTTCTTAAAAGATGATTCTCTCTGAGCTAAGAGACAATCCGATTTTTCAAGTGAAAGAAAATAAGACAATAGCTATTTGGGTAAAATGATATATTCTTGCTAATCTACATGCTCTAAAATACACTGATGATGCTGTTTCGAGGGGGGCCGTGGCGGTAATCTATACTTTTCTCTGCCCCAGGGAGCACCTCTATCCTTCAGAGCAGAACTCCCTCCCCTGATTTGAAGATACAATTCACGAGGAAGTTACTATCAAGATGCTCTCTTTCCTTTGCAGTCACCATTGCCTGCACCAGGAGGGCTCCTGAGACCCAAACGAAGGTCCCTTAGAGTCCTCCACCCGCTGGGCATGGATGCTGGGCCGACAGATGGAATCTCCACACCAGAGCCCTCCGCCAAGACTCTGAACTCGGGACGCGAGAGAGCGGAGCTGAGAGATGGTGTGGGACAAGCCCAGCTGCTGGGGCGGGCGGTGGCGGCGCTGAGACAAAGGCATCATTGGCCCCGCGATGTCCAACAACCTGGGTCCATTTCTCTCCAGGGTCAGGTATGTGAACACGCTGATCGCACCTCATTTAAATTAGTTTAAGTTGTATTTTGGGGTTTCGTGCCGTCTGTCTAAAGCTATCATAAAAACTCACACAACTGGTGGTGGGAGGGGAAGAGAGAATTAAAATTCAGCACCTTTTGAACACTAGGTATGAAATTTGTTTTGTTGATGGTGTCCTTGCAGGGCTACACACACAGGAATCCAAAGTAACGTTCACTCACCCAAACACTTGGGCAAAGACCGATCCCATAAGCCATTTGCCGTACAGGTTAAGGCCGAAGATCCCAGCAAGTAAAAGCCCTTCTTGCAATGATACAGGACGCTCATCCCATACTCAAAACTCTCCGGGAGAGTCTGCTGCCCGTGACGGATGGCGTTTTCCACAAAGCCTGGATCCGAGCAGTTCACCACTGGAAAAGAAAACATTTAAACATCATTTAGAGACAGCTACACAGTACGAACAAAGCAGATCAAAAAGGAAGGGAAATGCCTCCTCATTTCTGAAAGTTCACAAAATGAAAGCATCGTGGGCGAGGCTTACGAAATTCTGCTCCCTTGATAAACTCTACTTATTGCTTTGAGCCAGTTTGCTTCGAAAACTGTCGAGTGGTAGATCAGCTGGGGTAGCAATTTTAACAATATGAAGCTAATTTCCTTTAACTATTTCCTAATAACGTTTCCTCAACTTACATTCTAAAATTAGTTTTCCTGGTTACGTTCCTATGTTCTAAAAATGGCACAATAGAACTCGACGACATTGGTTTAGTTTAAAATACTTTTACTCAGGCGTGATGTTTTAGGACAGCCTGTGGCTCAGTAATTAACTATTGCCCCCACGCACACCGACAGGCATTAACGCCTCAATGTGCGTGCCTAAAGTCATTTCTGTTAAGTGTTGAATCAACAAAAAATGACAATTCCTCCATCAACACTTAATGGAAGTGTAAGTCAAGCCAGACTCCGACTTAAGCTGCTTCTCCCTTCAGAAACAGCCCGGCGGTGACACGCTTCTCTGCGGCGTGTGGGACACGCTCTGGTTCCTCTGAAAGGCATTCTCCTGGCCTGAATGCCCGCTGGCATCTGTGAGGGGATTAGCAATGTGCTTCCGCAGGTGCGGAGGAAAAGAGAGAGACCCCGATCACGTCACGCCTTGACCCAGCACACCAGCAGAAGCAGCTGCTGAGAGGCCACCCTCTCTCCGGATATTTCCGGCTCAGGAAAGGCTGGTGCACGTGACTCTCAGGCAGCCACTGCACAGCGCGGATCCCAGGAGCTGGAGGCAACCCCCGATCCCGGCTGCACATTTGACTTCTCTGCATTGAGGAAGGTAGAATGCGGGATGGAGGTTTACAAAGTTCCCTTTCAGTGCTGTGCTACAGAATAGTGTTCTGTGCTTGTTTAAACACCCTGGGTTTACAGAAGAAAGACTCAAGTTATTTTGATTATAAAAAACAAATAAACAAAATGAAAACCAAATGCATGCACACTTTTATGGAACACAGGCAGATATTTTTTAAAGCCCCATAGTGCCTGCAACTGCAATAAAATTGTAACCCAAACCTCCGAGATTAGCGGGAATTACCTACCTGGAGAAAATCTAATACAGTTGGAGAATTGATCATTTGTACAGCCTGGAAGACACCGTACGGGCCGTTCCGGCACTTGGAGCTGCGTGTCAAGCCCAGGAGATGGAGAAAGCTCCCAGGGCCACACCCTGCTCAGGGGCGGGGCCTCCTTAGCCCCGGATGCTGAGGACACTTTTGTGTTTGTGCTTATGTTGCTCTCAGGACTGTCCCAAAACAATAAACTGTTTGTCATGGGAGCGAGGAAGCCACAGGGCAGTAGGCGTGGGAGCCCCTGAGCGTCGGCTGAGCACCTCAGTGGGATGCTCTGCAGACACCCAACGGCGCAGGACTCTGGCAGCCCAGACGGAGCTGATGTTGCTTTTCTTTTTTGCATTTTTTTCCTTTCTGGCCACCTTCCTTACCACGGCCTAATTGTGTGGCGAGGAAGGGGACGTGTGCAAAGCAATTGCCATTATTTGTGTGGTGCGCGAGGGAAGGATCTGACTGCAGACACAACACAAAAGCAAAGGGGGTCCCTGACAGGGATGCGGCAACCGTGCGGGAGCAACGAGCTCCACCTGCACCCCTCCCGCAGCCGAGAGACGGGGTGTTCTCCTAGCTCAGGCATGGCTGCACGAGGGGATTTGGAACACGCGCGTTCCATGACTTTGCTCTGACGGTACACGCTCAGTTCTCCCCGAGGGCCCCTCTTGCCATAGCTGAGAGGCACAGGGGACGACGATGACACTGTCATTCCTGGAAATGCAACAGCGGGTGCATCCGAATTTCCTGGAAGGTGAGCCCAGGCTCCTCCCACTCTTTTATTAATACCTAGGTCAGTACCCTCAAAATAGCGGGTGGTAGAAAATGCTTGAGAGCAATGAAAACCCCATGAGCTCCACCTGGGAAGACCGAATGGATCCACAGGATGGAAGAGGCGCATATAGCAATACTCTAAATCTGCTCATGCATGTTTTTCGGTCCTGTATACAGTTGCAGTCAGAAATATCTATCTACCTTCCTTCCTATTTATTTCTGTGTCTCCATGAAGAGATGCAGCTGCATCTATCTGCTAAGGGGGAAAAAAATAGGGCAGGAATAATCTGATTTATTTGTCCATGACAGAGAGGACTTTAAAATACTCCATGTCATTGCTGGGAATGTGTGTGTCCACCCTGCGGAGATAGTTCCTCAGTGCCCAGTCAACCCACACGAGCATCTAGTTCTTTCTCCTGCGTGGTGTGCGAGCGGTTCCTGTCCAGGATGCCGTGGAAAGAGGCTCGCATGGCTGACAGGTGAGCTGAGCTGTGGGTGAGCAGAGGGTAGTGAATCGGGTCACTCAACGTGTGTAGCGTGTGTGATGCCAACGAAGTTCATAATAAACTCTTACACGAAACACTATGTATTTCATTGTATATTTTTACCTATTTATTTATTAAAATGCATTAATTAATGATCAACTTAAAAGTTGATAAGTTTTTACTTTAGGGCCTCTGGGATGATTATAGCAGAAACATGGGATTTCACTCACATATCCAAAATTTGGTTAAAAATTGGAAATTCAAAATGGAATCCCAAGTACCTCCTAAGCTTTGGCATCAACACTATTTCTTACCAGCTTACTGGCTTTTGAAGAAAGTATAAATGGCTAG